TGACTCCGTTGGCTGCAAGGACGTGGTCTCCCACCCGAATGCCGTTCTGCTCTGCCAGCCCCCCGGGGTCCACCCTAGGGCAGCAGGAGGGGAGCAGGATGGGGCTGAGTCCTCGCTGGAGCCCTTGCTCCTGCCCCACACCTCTGCCTGTGTGACCCTGTGCCCCAGCACCCACAGTGGTGATGCCCATAGCCTTATGAGGGTTGGGGGCTCAGCCAGGGAGGGGGTGCCGAGCCCCAGCATGGGCACAGCGGTGATCAGGGCCCCACGTCCCCCTCGTGCCATACTTGGAGACGTAGATGCCGAGGCCGAACTCCCTGCCGCCGCGGATGTTGAAGCCCAGGCAGTAGTCGTCGGAGGTGGTGTAGAGGTGCACGATGCGCCGCAGCCCATCCTCAGAGCCGCTCTCTGATGGTGTCGAGCCACTTTTCTCCACCACCAGGCGCCTGTTCACCACATCCACCCTGGAGCACGGGCACAGTGTTGAGGGGGGCTCAGAGGTCTGGCTCTCGTCCTCCAGCAGGATGTGGCCATTGGTGTCACCCAGTGGAGGAGCGCGATGGGGATGGGAGATGTTGAGGATGGGGCTTGCACCCACCCTGCCTGCTCCGGACCTTCCTATCCCATCCCGTGCCCCACCCTGGGCTCTCCCCACCTTTGTCAGAGACCTCCAATATCCCCGCAGGGTCCCCCAGCACCCCCCACTGAGCATCCCTACCATGCCCTCCATGGGGTTGGGCTTTGGGGTGCTGGCATGGGAGATGCCCTGCTCACCACGCTGTCTTTTCCTTGGAGAACTTGATGCCCGGCACGCGGCCCATCCGCCGGACCACCATGCGGAGGCGGTTGTTCCCGGTGAGGACCTTGACGGCACTGCTCATGGTGATGTTCTCCAGGCTCACGCTGTTCACCTCCGTGATCTTGTCACCAACACACAGCCCAGCCTGCTCTGCAAAGGACACACGGCTTGGCTGGGCATCTGACCTGGCAATGATGCCTTTGTTTGGTGTTCCCTCCCTAAATGTGTCCCCAACCTGAACCAAACCCATGGGA